TTGTGTCATTTTTTATCAACTGAGTCGGATAATGTAAATTAGCTATCGTTAAGAGTTTCGCTCTCACGAAGGGCTAACGCTCGAAATGTTAGCTTTTAAACTCTTCACGGTGGCCAACTTACATTATCAACTTAGGTGATAAAACATAAATGACCTTCTTACCCCCACCGACGCGCGCAGCACCACAGTTTTTAATCAGAAACTTGCCCCCTTTATCGATATCTGATGAGGTTTTTGTTTTCCTGCTTTTTAGTTGAATATAATTATGCATCAGTTTTTCAAACTTTAATTAAACCCTTGGATCCCTAAGAGTAAAAAAAATCTTATTTTTCCTTACAATATCACCCCTGAATCACTCAGTAAGTTCATGAAAATAAAGGAAATGATCACCAACCAAAGAGGCTCGGATTGCTAAACGAACTCTCCTTGCCAGCACCTTAGAAACTGAATAGAGAACAGTACGGAGGATATGCATACTGAGGTTAGGTTGTAAAAGTTGAAGAGAAATTCTTTGAGCCTCAATCTTCACCTGTGTGTTTTATCATCGCAAGCACTAAACGACAACCCGACAGGGGTCCCCTCAGTTGGTACGCTGTCATTAATCATTGACTTGACGCACATTTCAGAGCATGTGTGCTGAAGGGAGCCATCCTTGAGTAGAAGAAACCATGACGAGTCACTTATACAGTCTGTGTCAAATACTAGAATTTCTGATTCATTGACTACACAAGAGTGGGATTTGGGGCTGATACATAGTCCATTCGGGCTTCTTGGTGGACTGTGCTTTGGAAAACTTGAACAAAAGGAAAAAAATCTTCTTTTCATCCATCTTTTCTTCTATCCGACTAGCCTACCACACATCGATTCCAGCCCTTCCTCCCTCCTCCAGCCTCCCGTCATCTGGTCTGTGTATCGTCCGTCTGTCTTTGAGTCTATCTAAATCTATGAGCTTTTTGTCACAGTTGCTGTGATCTGATTGGCTAGGCTATTGGATATCTACTCCTTTAGTGGATGGGAATCAAATAAACAGCCCGATTAGTGTGCTGTTACAAAACGAAAACAAAAAAACAAGACTCATGCTGTTCAGTTTTGCGCGATTGCGATCGATCGTTCGTTCTCGATTTATATGTTCAAAGTTTATTTGGCTGTCTTCCTCGTCAACTATCACATTAAATGCAAATTTCGAGCTCTTGGTATAATTTACCGAAAACCGTCACTCAGTTACGAAGCTGAACAAAATTAACTGCTTCAAGTTGCCTTTAAGTGATAACCAGGCAACGTGAGTTGTCGATGCTAGTTCAGAAGAGTCATATGAACATGGGCTCTTTCATCTGCGTCACACAGAATTAGTGACAGACTGCATGCAAAGGATATGTAACCAGCGAGGGTAATTTTGATTCATGCAGAGAAAACTCGCTAATAAGACAGCAAATAATAAGCCTACCACCGCAAGGGGGCCATGGCTTGCACAAGAGAGTTTCACGCGAGGGTCCCAGCTCTGAGCAGTCTTTTCCACCGTTCGCAGGTCGTGGATTGTTGCAGTACCTCGCTCTGACTTTGTAACCGGTTGAACAGGTCTTGCTACAAACGCTCCACGCTGACCAAGAGCTGTAACCACCGTTGACTCAAGTAGTCATGATATTATCCATAAGTATTGGGTCAGAAAATAGAGAACTTTTAATAACTTACATCTGAAATAGACCGGTCAGTATCTATCACTCGGGGGTGGGGAGACAGATGTTTTCTGGTTGTGTTATAATGACCCCCCTCCTCTCTCCTCCCTGTATTATTCTAATGATCTCCCATCGGTAGTCAATTTTCTCTAGTCCCCCCC